CATAGAGAAGTGTAAGGAACAGAGGACAATGTCTTTGCCACATCCCAGGTAGGTGTGGGACATGCGGGCTTCCCATGAGATGGGAAAGGTTTCCCAAACATGGGGTGTCCAGATGCTGGTTGACCTGACTGCACACATGTGCTCATCTACACACCACCAGGTACACCGTTCAGGATTTTACAATCCTCACGTGATTTTATTCCCAAGTAGAAAAAAAAAATCTGGTAATGGTATCCAGGTAATGTTTCATTTACAACAGGCTTCTTTCTTTTCTTTGTATTAGGTGAGAGAGAGAAAAATAGTTACTCCCAGTGATATATATATATATTTTTTTTCACATCCCATAAAAGCAACCATTTTAAAGCAAACAATTTAGTTGGATTTAGGTACATTTATCATGTTGTACAACCAGTACATGTATCTGGTTCTAGAATGTTCTCATTCCCTCAAAAGGAGAGCCCATTCCCGTGAACAGTCACACCCCATCCCCCTGACAACCACGGATCCACTTTTTTTTTTTATGGATTCGCCTATTCTGGATGTTTCTTATATAAATGGAATCATATGCTATGTGCTATTTTATGTGTGGCTTCTGTCACTTACCATAGTGTTGGTTTAGTATCTATAGTTAAAAAAATCACTGAAAAATACTCATGATAAGCCTCTAGATTACATGAAAAGATGCCCGTGAGAAGCACAAGGAGGTACCACGACACAGGTAATGGAATAGCTGAACTAAAAGTACTCATCACACCCAGGGCTGGTGAGGATGTGCTGCAGCTGGGACGCTCACACGTGGTTGGCAGGGATGCAAAATGGCAGCACGTCTCTGGAAAACGGGTTGGCGGTTTCTTATGGAGTTAAGTGTACACTCCATGTGGGATCCAGCAATCCCATTGCTAGGTATTTATCCAAGAGCAGTCACAATGCACGTTCACTGAAAACCTGGATGTGAATGCTGAGACCAGCATTCTGCCTGACTTGCCCCAGAGGGGAAACAACCTAGAGTGGGGAATGGATGAAGCACAGTGGCGTGTGCATACAACGGGACACCACTCAGCCACAAAAGGGGAGGGACCATTGTTGAGTGCACAACCCTGTTGCGTGTCAAATGCATATTGCTGAGTAGAGGAAGATAATTTCAAAGGGCCAACTACTGCCTGGGGTCATTTATACCATAATATGGAAAAGGCAAATAGAAGGAGAGAAAACAGAGCAGTGGTTATCCATGATTCTTGCTGGACGAAATGCCAGACTGTATTTTCAGGGGCTCGGGGAAGAGGGAATTGTCCAGGATGATGGAAAAGTTCTGCATCCCACTGGGGTGGTTACATGAATCTGTACATGTGTTAAAGCTTACAGGACTGTACTCCAAGATATGGTGAATGTTGTACTGTTTGTAAAATGTTTAGAAGACCTGCAGGTGTTCAAAAAATTGAAAAGAGAATGACCATATGATCCAGCAATTCCATGACTCGGGTATTTATCCAAAAGAAGTGAAAGCAGGGACTTAACAGATTTTTGTATACTTGTGTTCATAGCAGCATGATTTATGGTGGCCAAGTGGAAGCAATCCAAGCATCCATGGATGGAGGGATGGATGGGTAAATGGTATGTGGACCATGCATGGAATGGAATATGACTCAGCCTTAAAAGGAAGGACATTCTACACCTGCTATGACGTGGATGGACCTTCAGGATATGGTGCTCAGTGATATGAGCCAGACACAGAAGGACAAATCCTGTGTGATTCCACGTATACGGGGTCCCTAGAGGAGTCCCATCCACAGAGGCAGAGAGTAGATGGTGGAGTCAAGGCCTGGGGATGGGGAGTCAGTATTTCATGGGGATAGAGCTTCAGTTTGGGAAGATGGGAAGTTCTGGAAATGGATGGTGGGGATGGTTGCACAACAGTGTGAATGTGCTCGATGCCACTGAGCTCTGCACTTAAAAACGGTTAAGACGGCAAATTGTATGCTGTGTGTATTTTACCACAATTTAAAATTAAAAACAATTTTTCTTTGGTTTGAAAACCCCTAGGTGAAAAAAATGTCTTGCTCTACACAGAGCATGCAAAAACGCTCAGAGGGTTAGGACTGTGTTAGTTGCATATATTTTCATGCCATCCCTTTAAATTGTTTATCTGCAGTGGAATACATAACGGGTCTGTATGATGTATTCGTCCACAGACGTGCACTGGGGCATGGGTGAAACGCTCTGCCTGCTGTGTGTGGCATTGGCCCTGAGAGCCCGCAGGAGGGATGAACACCCAGCGTCCCTCCCCAAGTCGGGCCCAGAGCTCCTAACTGGGCTGAAAGCAATCCTGGGAAGGTGGCAAAGGAGGAAGGCCAAGTGTGGAGTTGTCAGTTGGGGCTACAGACACTCTTGCCTTGATCTGCTTACATTCCTAATCACAGTTCTTGGGTGGGTATCAGCCCTGCACAGATGTGGAAGCTGCCTTAGAGAGGGGCACCTGGTCAGAGCGTGCATGCTCTCAGGTGGGGCTGGGATGCACGCCCACTAGTCTCTCCCCAGCATCCCAGACCCTCAGCACTCCGAAAATGCCACCCCAGGACACCTCTCCTCTGAAAAGTAAGCAGCAGGGCTCATGGGCTTCTGCGGATCTCAGGGGCTGTTTTAAAAATTTATTTCTTCATTTTTGGTCTGGAAAGAAGCCATAATTCACTTGGAATGTTAATGGGGACTTCAGCTCTGCAATTGTAAAATCTAGTACACACAGCTTGAAATGCTTGGAACTGCACTGTATTTGGGATGGCTCTGTGGTTCCTCAAAGGGAGCAATTCAACCCCCAGGGGACACCCGCAGATGGTCACAATGGGGGCTGGCACTGGCATGTGGTAGGGTGGAGACCAGGGATGCTGCTCCACACCCGAGTGCCCAGGATGCCCCACATCAGAGAGTCATTCAGCCCCAGATGTTAATAGTGCTGAGGTAGAGACACCTGTCTCAGCATAACAGATTCTGAATGTCTATCTGTCCATCTGTCTATCTATCCATCATATCTATGTATCATCTACCTATCCATCCATCCACCCATCATATCTATCATCTATCATCTATCAATCATCTACCCATCATATCTATATCATCTATCTATCTATCTATCCACCCATCATATCTATGTATCATCTACCTATCCATTCATCCACCCATCTACCCATCATCTCTATGTATCTATGTATCTATCCATCCACCCATCCATCATCTATCCATCCATCCATTATCTATCTATCTATCTATCTATCTATCTATCTATCTATCTATCTATCATCTATCTATCCACCCACCCACCCATCATCTATCCACCCATCATCTATCTATCCATCCATCATATCTACATATCATCTACCTATCCACCCACCCATCCACCCATCATCTATCTATCTATCTATCCGTTCATCAGGTATGGCAGTGGTTTGCAACCAGAGACAAGTTTTTACTTCCTGGGGGACACTTGCTGATGTCTGGGGACATTTTTGATTGTCACAATTGGGGGGTTGCTTCTGGCATCTGGTGGGTAGAGACCAACACCCTACAGTGCCCAGGATGCCCCACCCCAGAGAATAAACCAACTCAAAATACCAATCTTGTCCAGATGGAGAAGACCTGTTATACCTGGGGGTACCCAATAATATCCTCCCATACAAACTATGCCTATATACGTGTGTCTGTGTATAATTCACAAATTTCACAAATTTGTCTCATGGATACATAATAGCTATACATATATATGCATTTGCATGTGAATACATGAATCAAATTTGTGAAAAACCCAAGGTCTGCCCATATGGTTGTGTTTCCTGTCTCTGTCCAGATCTCAGGCTGGTGATTTATAAACTGCTGTTCCCACCCAGTTTCTTCTTGGGCTCTCCATGTCTCACTAGCTGTTTGTACTGGCTGGTGATGCTTTCGGTCGTTTTCGTCGAGGAATTACTTTGTGTATATAACTTCACCATGAGCCGTTTTTCCTAACACCCAAGGCATGTCCTGAAAGTAAATCCTGTGCTTTCTGGCAGTGTCTTGAGTTGCTGTAATCATCTGGGACTGTTTTATAACTCCCTGCAGCCATGAGATGTGCTGCATTTGTGTGGCACCTCTCAGCGTCCTCGATCCTTAGGGAACTGACTGTTGTATTTCACTCCATGTTGGTGCTCATAAAAACTGCCATGGAAAGAATTTCAAAGTTGTGCAGAAAATGATGAAACCAAACTGGATCCGTTCGTTCCCATTTTGAAGGTTGCTGGAACTCTTCAGTTCATGTGCTCCCCCTTTTCCTCCAGAGGTACGGAGCCAGCGTCTTCCAATGAAGCAGGAGTTTCGCTAGAAGGCAGCATTAAAGCAGCTTTCCTTTGCCAATGATGCCAGAGGGAAGGTCAAAGAGAAAAAAGTAAAGCTGCCTGCAGCCATTTATATTCATACCAGGGAGGAGAGTCCAACCCAGGGGTTGAAGAAGGAGGATCTGCTTTCACCCCTCGGTGGTTCTGAGACTAGACTGCCCAGATATTACACTTTCTAAATACGCAAGGATGGAAAACAGCATCAGAATAAGGTAGAAATGTCTTTGAAGAGAGGAGGCATGCTTTTCTTCCCGGGACCTTGATTCTACATGCAAATGAGTGATTTGACATATTGCAGGATTTTATGTTTGAAAAGCAAGATGTGCCATCGCCGAGGGTATCTTGAGAGCCATGTTCAAAGCACCTGGTGTCCCAACGTCACGCGTGGAAAGAGCACCTGTAATGGTTTGGTGGACAGAGGCCAAGGGAGGCGCTGCAGAACACCTTTGCCCTCTGTTTTTATCCACATTAATGTGAGGTTGGGATCACCTCATTTGCAGGTGTCACAGAGGGTAAATGAGGTGATGCTGGAAATCTCCTGCCGTGACATGTTGGCTTCCCAGCTAGAAACGACACCTCCCCCTCTATGACCCAAACTTGTTTGAAAAGGAAACTAATACCCCACACGCATTATTTTTGACCAGATGGAACCAAAAATCAAATTACCTCGAGGCTTGTTGGGTCTCTATGACAAGACATACCAACCAAACAGCCCACCGGGGGGCTGCTCCCGCACCTATGTCAAGCTCTTAGTTTAAGCAAACGGGAGTTGGGCATAATCCCTATTCTCGGAGTTGGGTGTAATCGCTATTCTGGGAAACACAGGACGATCTCTCTAGTTTGTGAGAATTGGTAATCATGCTAGGCCAATGTTGCAATCACCTCACATTCTAGATGTCTCCGAAAACATGGGCTTCTCACCCCATTGGAATTCATGGCTCAGAAGAGCTGCCCTGAAGGGGGTGATTCCTGAAGCATTCTGTGCATTTGGAGAAAAGAAAAGTGGATAGTCAGCAAAACTCACTCTGTTGCATCGGGCAGTTTGGTGCAATTCAAAGCAATGCATGTGGGCACCCAGTGTGTGCCCAAAAAGAAAAGCATAGTTTTCCTTCGAGGTGCTTTGCATGCTCTTCATAGCAAATATTTTATTGATCTGGGATTCAATTAACCGTTTAAAATGTACATTCAGATGCATTCAGCACATTCACCGTGCTGTGCAACCACCACTTCTACCTGGTTCCAGAACATTCTCATCCTCCAAAAAGGAGACTCTGTCCCCATTAGCAGTCAAGTTCCATCCCTCTCCTGAGCCCTCGGGAATTATTAATCTTTCTGTGTCTATGGATTTAACTGTTCTGCATATTTCATAGAAATGGCATCATATACCATGTGGTCCTTTTGTTCTTGGCTTCTTTCAGTCACGATGTTTTTGAGGCTGGTCCATGGTGTGTGTATGGGTAGTCCATTCCTTTTTCATGGTCAAATAACAATCTGTTGTAGGGATGTATGCTAATGCATTTTTTTAAGTAGGCTTCATGCCCAACCTAGGGCTCAAACTCACAACCCTGAGATCAAGAGCTACATGGTCTACCGACGGAGCCAGCCAGGCACCCTGCTAATGCATTTTTAATGTGCTCCCACTATCTTAAAATGAAATCATAGATACTTACACCTATGGACAAATTAATAGTAGCCACATCATGTCCATGTAATGCAATTTATAATAAAATGATAGGCATTTGAACATGTCAATGCTTGCAGATGATGAAGGACTAAGATGCTTGCCTCTGCATGTCAGATTCCCAAGAAGGTGCCAGCTGTAAACAGAGGCTGCTGCAGGCATGCTGCGGTTTGTAATGCAAATGCCATCTGCGCTTCAGCAAATGGTGAACAATCCAACTAAGGATAATCTTGTATTAAGGCAGTAGCTCCTTGCCTGGAAAATACAAATGATTGCATTTATGAGTCAACAGAATTAAGTTCTAGGCTTGGGTTCATGACCTACAAGATGTTCGCCTGCATGGACATCTGGCCAGACATTGAGAAGTCACGTGGGCAGGGGGTCACTGTACACTGGGTAGCCCTGTCCTGTGCCTTGCAATACGTCTATCATACCGGCCTCCCCCAGTTAAATGTGGAAAGCAGCTTTTTGTTTTGTTTTGTTGTGTTTTGTCTTCAGTGTGCCCTTCTCTACCTTTCCATGAACCACGTAGAGAACAACCAGCATTGAAAACCACTAGGCCATTGGGAAGGAAAGCCAATGCATCAGGTGCACGCGACTTGGACCCAACTCACTATGGTGGCATTACTCACATAGGCAAGATCTTCCACAGCCTTAACTCCCTTCTATTGCCTCCTCTCATGAGTGTGAGGACCATAAAATGACTCACTGAGGAGCACCTGCGTGGCTCAGTCAATTCGAGTGACTGACTCTTTGATTTCAGCCTAGGTCATGATCTCAGGGCCATGAGATCCAGCTCTGTGTCAGGCTCCACACTCAGCACAGAGCCTGCTTGTCCCTCTCCCTCTGCTCCTCTCCCACACTCACTCTCTCTCTCTCTCAAATAAATAAATAAATAAAATCTTAAAAAAAAAAAAAAAGACCCAGTGAACATAATAGGACACTCTTTGCCCAAGTCATGGCCAATAGACATTTCACAGTGTAAGTGTAAATCAAAATATTGCACCCTACACATTAAATATATACATTTTTGCTAAGTTATGCCTCAGTAAAGTCAGAAAAATAAAATGAATATTCTCCCCCTAAAAGAATGGTCCTTTTAGTTACCATGCTATGATTTTCTCTAAGATATTTTGAATGAAAACTCATTGAACCACACCTGGCACCATGGTAGACCAGCTGTACTGTGGGGTCTTTGAAGGACAATATAAGTAGTTCTTGGATGAAATAGAGCAAGCAAAATTTTTAATGCATTGCTGGATCCAATGACAGTAAAATTATTATTTTTAATTCTACGTATCTGGGAATTCTTTTTTTTTTTTTTTTTTTTAAAGCCCAGCATGGAGCCCAACACAGGGCTTGAACTCATAACCCTGAGATCAAGACCTGAGCTGAGATCAAGAGTTGGATGCTCAACCGACTGAGCCACCCAGGCACCTCTCTATCTCGGAGTTTTTAAAACGTTGGTTTGAGGAGGCGCCTGAGTGGCTCAGTCGGTTAAGCGGCTGCCTTCGGCTCGAGTCGTGATCATGGGGTCCTGGGATCGAGCCCCACGTCTGGCTCCCTGTTCAGCGGAGAGCCTGCTTCAGGAGGCTTCTGCCTGCTTGTGCTCTCTATCTCTGTCAAATAAATAAATAAAATCTTTAAAAAAAAACCCCAAAACAAAAAACAAAAAACGTTGGTTTGAGTAAGCCACAGGCTAAAGAGGAAAAAATGAAGACAAGGACAGCACTGCGTATCTATGAGATGTAGACCAAGTCAGAAGGAGAAATGAGTGACACAGAAGGCTTCAACTGGACATATGGAAATAAATAAATAAATGGCATCCATGAAATCAGGAAGTCAGACGATATATCCCAGAATGAAGGGAAGAAATTAGGCAACTGAGATAACCAAAAATGATGAATTAGCGATAACCGCACACGTTGGTAAAGCTCTATTCCTGAACCAGAGAACGTCCTTCCTTGAATAGAACCTCAAACTCTTTACTAGGCACAGACATTTGCGCACCGCCCCTTCAGGGCACATGCTGCAAAGCAGGAGGGACATAAGGGTTTATGTTTGTGCTTTTATGGCATTTGGTAAAAAGCTGTGGATCTAGGCCCAATGACTAGGATACTGGTATCCAGATGACGGAAAATACAACTCCAACTATAGCTGACCCTTGAACAATGCGGTGTGAATTTCACGGGTCCACTTAGATGCAGATTTTTTTCATTAAATATAGCACAGTGCTGTAGACGTATTTTCTCTTCCTATGATTTTCTTAATCACACTTTACTTCCTGTAGCTTATTTTTATTGTAAGAACACAGTATATAACACACATATTAATAATATGTAATATTATATAATGTTATATATAATATATAATACATATTAACTGACTACGTTATTTGTCAGGCTTCCAGTCAACAGCAGGCTCCTAGTAATTAAGTTTTGGAAAGAGTCAAAAATTATATGTGGATTTTTGAGTGCATAGAGCTGGGCACACCTAGCTTTGTGCTGTTCAAGGGTCAAGTGTAATTTTTCCACTTAAATGACAAATTAAATCCAGAGCTTGCATGCAAAACCATAAGTGCATATATTTATTCCTGAACATTCCTCAAGCACAGTGCATACATAGATTTTGTTGTCTCAGCAAACCTGGGTGCAGACAAGATTGTGTTAGCATCATCATTCAGTAGATGAGGCATCAGAAAGACAGAGACCCAAAGGCTTAATGATGGTGCCCAGTGCAAGACTTCACATTCCCAAAGTTCACATCCAATGGGCAATGGGCACGGCATGCCTTCGCTGACCTGTAGACCAATCCAAAAAGCTTCCCTCATCTTGCCTCCCAACCTGTTCCACCTTGGAGGGGGCCAAGTGCACCTTGTATGGTTGTATTTCCAAACAGCCAAAACGAGAGGCGCCCATGCCACCCGTTCATGATACAGAAACCTTCAGCATCTAGTTGGCATCCAGAGCCTGTGTCCTACATGGACCAGCCTTTGCTGAGCTCACTCTTCCTTGTTAAAAGTCTCTGCTATCCTATACAGTGAAATCTCCAGATTCCAGGGATTAGGACCTAATATCCATGGAGGCCATTATCAGTCCACCACAGACCTCGAGCTCCCTTGGGACAAGAGCTAGGTCCCGCTCAACTTGAGTGAGTCTGTGTTTCCTCAGAGCCTGGCTTGGTAGAAATGAATGAATGAATGAATGAATGAATGAATGAATGAATGAATAGATGAATGAATGAAGTGGTCCCGCCCATTGCTGAACCCAAACAAAACTCACTGTTGCTACACTGAAGGAACAAAAGAACAGCTTTACTGAGAAGAGAAACACATGCATCTTGAGTCCAACTACTGAATCAAGTCTTGCCCGTGGATGGAAAGTCGTCACCCTGGCGTGGGCACAGAGACCCTCGTGGCTCCCCTAACATGAGTGACAGGCTTAACCCCAGAATTCCCAGTGTCTGCCAAGCCATGGATTCAACTTTACTCACCCAGAGATCCACATGATTTCTCCAGCTGCTGGGAAGTGTCTCCAAGCACCAAGGAATTTACAATCACATGTCGAGGGTGCCTGCTAACTTCTCCAGAACGATGTGCTTTTGTTTGTTTGTTTGTTTTTGTTTTTTATTTTTTTCCCTCTCTTTCTCTCCCGGAGAGGAACAGCAGCTTAAGGGCTGTCATTTAACAAGGAGGAACAATCTGAGGCCAGGGTCCTACAAGGTTCAAATTGTTCTTGGAGTGCGTCTTCTCAGTTTGGGGATTAGCGGCATCTGTCAAATCCTGGCCTGCTTGTTTTCTCAGTGATGGAGGATGTCAGCCTGGCCAGGAGCTATCCTACCACACTGTCCTGAGCCTCTACTTGGAAAGTACCTTCATCATAATGATAACAGTTGCTGGCACTTATGTATGATAGCTTCAAGCTGTAGTATGGTCTTTGATGACATAGAAATGCTCCCAGGTTGGCATCTTCCAGAATTCAAGATTCTGCTTTTTAGTGCAGAGTCCTGACTGTTCAGAAAATCAGATGAGGCACATCTTGATTATGATTCTAGTTCTAAAAGACATTAGTCTGGGCTCTAGAGCTTTAGTGGAACATCTGAACAGTCCGAGGAAGTGCCAGCACTCAGGGCTGGAAGTTGCAATCTCAATATGTCTGGCTCAGGTTGGGTCTTGAACTTGGTTGAACAAGAGGATGGCTTGAGAAGCTCTACAGAGATGCTGATGTCCAGAGGAATTAACTCTGGAATGCTACTGAGGGTGGGGATGAGCAACAATCATTTTCAGATGCTTCCCCAGTGGGCAACCAAAACCCATCAACTTAACTAGAACTTCAGGGAGATTATCAGCATTTTTATTGAGAAGATTTGTTTAGGGTTTACCACCTTGGCCAAGAAAAGACAGAGAACTCTGTCACTAAAAGAGAATCTATCACAGGCATTCTCAAATATCCCAAACCAGAGCAATGACATTCCTTTGTATTTTGTTAAGTTCCGATTAAGTCATGTTCCATTCCAGAAGGAGAGCAGATTCTTAAATTCCTTCACGGTGCCACTGCATCCATCCTGGAACAACCAAGAGGCAATCTATAAAGCATCTGTCCCTGCATCCAGTGTGAACCCCAAGCGGGAAGAGCTGCTGGCTGTGATGCCAAAGCATGCATTGCCCAGAGTTGACATCAGGTTTGGGTCCTCGGTGAGATTCTGTCAGTTGAGGGAATGGATGATCAGCTGACCAGCAGTCACTGTTCTGGAAATTCAGAGTGCAGCAACACACACACAGTGTCCTTTACACTGCATTTCAAGTGGATAGTCTGTCCACGTTGGAATTGAGAACATCCTCAGAGAAAGGACTGAGCGAGCCTTCCTTGCCTGACTGGTGGGTCAGTAAGGGTGAGCCCTGAAGTCAAGGATGGTGCCCAGTAAACTGCGGGAGACACTCAGAACCATAGGGAACTGTATGAGTTTCCTGTAACAAATTCCTATCAATATGTTGGTGGCTTAAAAACTGCAGGAATTCATCCTCCCCCAACTCTGAAGACCAGAAGTCTGAGATCCAGGCAGGGCAGGGCTGAGGTTCAGGTGAGAGGCAGGGCTGCTGAGATCCAGGGGGGGCAGAGCTGTGCTCCCTCCAGAGGAAGGTCCTTCCTGCCTTTTCCCACTTCTGGGGGCTCTAGGTGTCCCTGGGTTTGTGGCCACGTCCCTCCTGTCTCTGTCTCCATGGTCACATGACCTCTTCCTATTTTATAATCAAATCTCCGTCTACCTGATCTGATATGGAAACTTGTGATTACATTGAATGTAGCTAGATAAGCCAGGATGATCTCCTCATCCTAAGATCTTGATTCCATTGCAAAGGTTATCTTTCCAAGTAGAATCACATGCAATGGTTCTGGGGGGTGAGCACGTGGAGGTATCTTTTGGAGGGGGTCATGATTCAACTCCTAGAGAGACCAACTGGATATAATTCCAAAGACCCTCCACCTCTGTCCGACTGCCAGTGCATGGACCACCCTTCATGTTCCTGGCAGACAAGCTGCCTCTGCTTACAGATATGGGAGGAACCAGAAGAAAATGTCCAGCTCAGGTGGGCTCTGATGAACTGTGATCAACACCCGTGACTGGGCATCAAATATGTTTATGGCTACTTCAGTACTATGGTTTAACTATAATCAGGCCCTACAGATGTGTCTAGGAAGGATGCCAAGAGAAAAGTTAACTGACATTCTGAGTGGGGAACAACCCAGGAGAAGGTCATGTATGGCAATGTGATGGTGAGGGGGAAATCAGGGCCCATTCCTTTACCTTTTGCCCAAAACAAATAGTGAGCAAAGTCAGGAACATCCTTCCTTGTCCCACAGGATGTTGTACTGAGTGATTACAGACCCTTCTCCTCATTCCTGTCCTGTAGAACCCTCCTGGGAATTGCCATCCAGATCCCTCTCCTGGTCCCTGTCCTACCGAGCTCCATGGTTGGCTGCTGACCAGACCTCTCTCCTCATTCCTGTCCTACAGAACCCCATAGGGAATGCTATCTAAGACCCCTCTCTTTCTCCTGTCCTACAAAAACCCAGGGTGAGTGGTTTACAGACCCCTCTCCTAGCCCCTGTTCTATAGAACCCCATGGGGATTGCTGTCCAGACCCTTCCCTCCTCCCTGTCCTACAGAACCCCATGGGGAGTGCTATGTAAGACCCCCCTCTTCCTCCTGTCCTACAAAAACCCAGAGTGACTGGTTTACAGACCCCTCTCCTCGACCCTGTTCTATAGAACCCCATGGGGATTGCTCTCCAGACCCTTCCCTCCTCCCTGTCCTACAGAACGCCATGTTGAGTGTCGACCAGACCCTTCTACTCATCCCTGTCCTACAGAACCTCATGGTGAGTGCTGTGCAGACTCCTTTCCTCATCCTTGTCCTATGGAACCCCATGGTGAGTGCCGATCAGACCCTTCCCTCCTCCCTGTCCTATAGAACCCCATGGGGAGTGCTGTGCAGACTCCTCTCTCATCCCTGTCCTACAGAACCCCATGGTAAGTGCTGTGCAGACCCTTCCCTCCTCCCTGTCCTACAGAACCCCATGGGGAGTGCTGTGTAGACTCCTCTCTCATCCCTGTCCTACAGAACCCCATGGTGAGTGCTGTGCAGACTCTACCCTCCTCCCTGTCCTACAGAACTCCCTGGTGAGTTCCATCCAGACCCGTCTCATCCTGTCCTAGAGAACCATACAGGGAATGCTGTCTGGGACCCTGTCCTCCCACCCATTGCACAGAATCCCTGACACGTCTGGTTATATTCGCATGACTCACAGGCTTGAGCTCATGACAGCAACTCTGGGGACTACAGGTAGCACCCAGGACCAGGTCACTGTCAAAGTGTGGAGTAGAATATGAGTTGTCACCTGAGCCTTAACCCAACAGACTGAGGAAGGCTCATGTCTCTGTTTCACAGACCCAAGAGTCAAACCTGGGTGTCCGGAATAATGGGTGAGTGGAAGAACAAAGGGCACAGGGGACCCTGAACCCTCTACAGCTCCAGTGGTTCATACTCCCTTGAAAGAGCTTGCCTCACCTGGAATGTGTCTCCTCAAAGCTGGTCCCTGCCCTGTGCTCAACAAGGAAGACTGCACAGTTGGGTTAGGCAGCATTTAATTGTTCATAGCACTTGTAGCAATTTGGCAGACAACTTATGGCTCGGGACCACCTACTTGGGAATTACATTTAATGTTCCTTTTGGTCCTTGACTTCCTGCAAAGGCATGACAGCAGACAGGAGACCTTTGGGGACACAGCCCCAAAGGCAGGCAGCTATGAAAAATGCGGGCACGGGGATCTGTCACAGACCTGTGTTTGGTGGACTGAAGGCAAGGTCTTCCCCGACGTGGCAACTACCCCGAGAAGGTGTCCTGGGTCATGTCAGTGATGCCGGTCATCTGGCAACTCCTGGCCCACAGTTCTCTTTGAAGATCTAGATCATACGTGATCTTGAGAGACTTGGTCTCTTTCTCATTGTAAAGGTAGCGGCCGCCAATTCCTTCCAGGTCCGGGGTGACCGCTGCATAGACAGATGTCCAGGCTCCCTCATCTGGAGTCTGTGGGGAGAAGGAAGAAGGCCAGTATGTGTCAGTGTTCAGAGTAGAGCGCATGGGATTCTCAGGACCCCCACTGATGTTGTTGGGCTAGACACAGCACGCTCACCACCGGGGTCGGGAAACTCAAGCAGAAAGCCATATGTACAACCTAGCCGAGCTGATGGGTTAATCCATTTCCATAGGCAAAAATGCGTATTAAAATCCCTGATGTGGACAGTCAAGTTCTGCAACTCCCGATGAAGCCATAATGCATATGAACTGGCTCAAAGGGGATGAATGCTGAGCCTCTGTGTTAAAGCAACACTAGTTGGCAACCGGGTGAAATGTGACCACCTTGCAGAAAGGTTCTTGGCGTCAATGCAGCACGGTGAGCTTCCCGTGGGGATGGAAGAGTTCCCAGGCTATGGTCACTGCTTAGGGGGAAAGCAAAGTCCAAGTAGAAGCTTGAAACGTAGAGAACACATGAGGACTGGAACTCTTGTTCCGACGGAATGCGGCAACATGTGAACACGACACACTCTGCATTCTGGGGTGGGTGTCTGAGTGACCAGTGGGTTAGCATGGTCAGTGGGTGCCAGCGAGCTAGGAGGAGCTCAAGAGATTGGAAATGGTGGGAACCAAGGCATCTCCGTCCAGGGCTGTGATTCCAGATCCAGAAACCAACAGAATTTCCCCCTCGCTTCTTAATGTCAGGATAAAGACTTTTTCAAGAGCTTATCTTGTTTAATCTTATGGAAATCTGCTCAATCTGCCCCATCCACTCTAGAGCTTCTTATGTGTCTCTCTAAGTCTACACAGCTGACCCCTGAACAAAACAGGTTTGAACTGCGTGCGTCCACTTAGATGCGGATTTTTTCGGTAAAGGTAGCAAAATTCCATAAATGTGTTTTCTCTTCCTTAGGATTTTCTTAACCACGTTTTCTTTGTCTGGCTTATTCTATTGTGATAATCCAGTGCATAATACATGCAACGTACAATATATGGGTTAATCTACTGTTTATGGCATCAGTAAGGCTTCTAGGCTTAGTAGTAGGCTATGAGTAGTGAAGCTTTGGGGAGTCACAGTGATACCTGGATTTTCAGCTGCGTGGGGGGTTGGCATTCCCATGCACACACACTCATATGCACACACATACTTCCATGCATGCATGCACATTCACAATCATACACATAAACTCACATGCACACATGTATTCACATGTATAGGTACTCACACACACTCATATACTCACATGCACACACACTCATACCCACATGCATGCATACATTCACATATATACATATATACTCACACACACTCATATACTCACACCCACATACATGCATATTCACATACATACATATATACTCATACACACTCATACTCACATGCACACACACATACTCGTACCCACATACATGCATTCACATACATACATATATACTCACACACACTCATATTCTGACGCACACACATACATTCTCACACACATACACACACACATACTCATGCACATGCATATGCTCACATGGACACACACATATACTCATATGCACACACATATGCTTATAGGCACACACACAGATGCACACATACACACCGACGTACCCACGCACACATTTACACACAGACATACACACTGTCACCCAAGCTGGCAGGCAGCTCTGCTGACATATAAAGGGGTAGAAAAAAAGAGCTGTTTCTTGGCTATAATGCATCTTATGAAGAATTAATCACATCCACTTACCCAACTATCATGTGCTTAAATACATGATAGATGCTAGGTTTCAAAATGCAACCGCTGATCGTTTGTAGAACATTTCAAAGCCTTGGGCTTATAATGAAGACGGAAATGAGATTTCATTTGTATTCTTTAATTCCTAAATGTTTTGACAGCTCATGAAATAGATGCTTTTATTCATTTATTTCACATTACATCTCATATCACATCCTAATCATCACCGATCAGAGCAATTATAGGCTGTGCCCATGCAAAAGGGAGGGTGCCATGATAAATGCTGAGATACACATGTGTATGTATAAACATGCACACATACACATGCTCACATGCACTCACACACTCATCCACATGCACGCACATGTGCTCACAGACTCACCCACATGCACACACACATGCTCCCATGCACACATATATGCTCACACACACATACTCTCACATGCACTCACCCACACATATAGTCACACACACACACAAGCTCACATGCACACACACATATTCACCCACGTGATGCACACTAGCCCACGTGCACACACAGGTGCTCACCCACAAGCTCTCATACACAGTCACAGACATTCGCACATACACGACTTTAACCTTTGGGAATTTATCTGCATTCCCTGGAGGTGGAGGAGACACCCAAGAATTTCAGGACCTGGGTTCAAATTTCTGTGTCACCACCCGTTAACTGTGAGATCTTCACTGAATCATCGTCCCTCTTAAGCCTATTTCCTTTCCCGGAAAACAATAATTGTAGAAATAGTTTTCCCACACAATTGTCAGGGAGAAACGCATGACATCTTACGAGGGAAAGGCTTTTGGCAAATATAAACACAATTGCAAATGATAAACAGTAAGCACGACAGGGGTGACCATATTGTGTGCTGGGCATTGTGCCAAGCACTAACACCCATTGTACGGATGAGGACCCGAGGCTCAGAGAAAACTTGTCTTTTCCCCAGGGCACACAGCTGGTGGGTGGAGGAGCTAGGATTCGAACCCAGGGCCACCAGCTCCCTGGTCAACATCCTCACCCATAGCATGTGCTGACTTCTCCAAGAAATGACTCTAGAGGCTGGGAGATGTAGGCAGGAGAGTGGGTTTGGGGAGACTTCTGAGTCCAAGTGAGCTCTTGCAGCAAGAAATGTCTCATGCAGGGAGAGAGCCACCAGAGCCGCTTAACCAGAGGGAAGAATGTCCACGGGGCACAGCTCCTGCCTCTGTCTGGGCAGCAGGCTTCCTGCTGAGCTGGAAGGCTGAACATCAACATCAACAATGCCTGAAATGAGCTGGACTATGTCCCCCCAAATCCGTATGTTGAAGTCCTCACCCCCAGGACCTCAGAACAGGGCTGTGTTTGGAAGTGGGGATCTTTAAAGAGGGGATTAAGGTAAAATGAGGTTGTTGGTGTGAACCCTAATCCAACAGGACTTGTGTTCTTATAAAAAGAGGGGATGAGGACACAGATTCCCCCAGAGGACAACCACCTGAGGACACAGGGAGGACACAGGATCTACACGCCAAGGAGAGAGGACTCAGGAGGAACCAGCCTCGGCCCCGCCTGGATCTCAGACTCCCACCCTCGGCCCCGCCTGGATCTCAGACTCCCAGCCTCCAGGACTGAGAGACAACGAATGTCTGTTGTTAAAGCCACCCCGTCTCTGGTACATTGTCATGGCAGCCCGGACAGACTAATTCAGCATCCAAATGATTCCTCTTCTCCGACTGGGAATGTTAGCCTATGGAGGGCTGCAGCTGTGCACACACACCTTTTCCAGGGAACAGCTGCTTATACCTCTACTCATCTGCTGCATTCAGACTCATGGGAGGGACATGCTCAGGTTCTGCCAGATAGACCTAAGACCAGCAAAGACCCCAACAGGCAGGAGATGCTTCTTAAATATGTGTCCAGTGAAGGCATATGTCCTATTATAGACTGAATGTGCACGCCCCTTCCCTCCAATTCATATGTGGAAGCCCTAACCCTCAATGGCATGGTATTAGCAGGCGGAGCCTTTGGGAGGTGATTACGGTTACATGAGGTCATGAGGGTGGGAGCCCCCATGATGGGACTGGTGTCCTCATAAGAAGAGGAGGAGACACCTCTTCCTCCCTCCATCACGTGAGGACACAGACAGATGGCCATGCGTGTCCAGCAGAAAGGTCCTGGGAGAAACTAGTGCTGGCCACGCCTGGATCTCAGATTTTCAGTCTCCAGCCTATGAGCAATAAGTACCTGTTTTCAAACATCTCCAGTCTGTGGGATTCTGTTAAAGCCACCCAAGCTGATGAATGCATGTCCCAACACCAAGATCTATATTTGAATGACGCTGTGTTCTAGGTCATGAAAAAAACCACAGAGAAGAGACAACCACTTGTTTTTTCCTGAATCTCTCTGAGCTAGAACCCTGCACACCACAGTCAGTGGGAGCATGAGAAACACCTGCACCATACACTTCCTTTTTCTACTCCTTCTCTCTTTGCTTACTTTTCCTTTGTTTTTATTTGTTTTTATGTTATCACCTGACGTCTTGCACCTGTGGCTCATGGTGCAGCGAACCACCATTGGCTGGGCACCCGGTCATAGGCTGGATGTCCCCAGGGAGCCACCATACATATACACTGACAAGGAAATCCACGTGGGTTAACTGCTAAAGGGGCCGGCATAGAGCCCTGCGGCTCTCAAAGATCTTTTGCACTGTGATTCTTCCTTACTAACTCAACGCTTCCTGTAGGGATGCCATGTTGGCAAAAAGGCAAGCTCAAAAGGCTTCCTCTCCTATGACCTCTACAGTCCGTCCTTGCATGGTGAACATGTAGATGATATTTCATGACTAATAAGCTCAAGCTTGGGGATGTTCATTCCAAGCAAAGAGAGTTATTAATCCTTTCTTCTTCCTCGGGATCACTGCTTGGGTCATTTGGTGATGAAACTTCACGTCCTAGAGAAGCTCACTGGAGCCCATGACCTGCCAAGAGCTCCAGGCTCATGAAACTCCAACACACTAATGATCGCCAACCAGAACAGGTTAATGAGGCAGAACCTCTAGCGTAATTTGCCAAGGAGTATCAGTAGGAACACAGTTGATGAAATTCAAAGCTGCTCTTGTCTAACAAGAAAATGGACATTTTGTGCTGGTTTCTATAACCACGCTCCCCTATCAGAGTTTTCTAAGCTGAGCATGAAATTCCACAACTTATTCACTATTTGTTTTTTTGTTTTGTTTAATTCATCTGTAGGAATTGTCTCCTCTAGGAAAGTACCTGGGATCCAGGTACTCA